AACCTGAGCCTGGCAGCTCCCCAGCGCTGCTCCTGCCTGCTGCCCGTCCCTTGTCCCCGCAGCAGATCCCCGGGATGCAGCTGGGACCCCCAAGAGCTGCGTGGCCTCGGGGTGGGCTGGCTGGATCCTGGCTGTGTCAGGCTGCTCCACATGTCAGGAAACAGAGAGGAGCAGGAGCATGTTCAAGGTGAAACGAAGCAGGTTTGGTTTATCACCAGAAGGAGACTCCCCAGTCCCAGGCAGCTCCTGTCCCAGCACCTCCTGCTAACATTTGCTTCTGCCGTGACACAATCCTCATTCCCGGCCCCGCCAGCCCGGCCCCTACACCGCTCGCCAGCCCTCCCTGATATGACGCGCGTTGAGTCACTTGGCACAGGGCTTTTTTTCCAGGGTGGTTTTTTTCCTTGGCCTCGTCTGCCGTAAGTCCCAGATCCCCATGGGGTGGTCAACGAGACCAGCCCGGGGCCGGGTCAGCGGGGCCAGGAGCAGCAGGGCACCCTGGACCAGCCGTGACATTTCTGCCATCAGGGGCACATCCAGACGACAGAGCTCTGGAGGGATGCCGTGGATGTGGGTCCACCAGCAGCATTCACTGACTTGTGGCTTCAACGGGACCATCATGGGGTGGGGAAAATGGTGATGGGGAGCAACCCACAGGGGAGGGAGGAGCAGGCTTTGGTGCCTGAGGTTCGCTGCACCTTCAGAGTCCAATTTCAGGAGCTTCATCCGGCTTGGGGAAAGTGAGGAGGAAGCAGGGATAACTGGCTGGCATGGGCAGATGGCCAGGAATGTGATTTACTCCAGTGCCAGGCCGCACAGGGCTGCTACCACGCTTTCCCCCCAGTCTGCTCCCAGCAGCTGGAGCTGCAACCCCCGGGTGCAGCCGGGGGCCGCACTGGTTGAATCGAGGTGCGATTGAGCACAGCTCCTTGTATAACACAGGTTAGATCTTCTACTCCTCATTCATAGCTGCTACTATTTATTAGCAGATTGAACAGTCTCATTAAGCAGGAGGTTTAATTACCTGCCAGGTTTGAGCTCCATCTTGTTTTGCTGAGCTGAGCTGCCCACGGCTTCCAGGCGCTGGATTGTGCTGCACCACGGCTGGAGCTTTTGCTGCTTGGATCTGCGGTTGGATTTCACCTCTGGCCAGGGGGTCTCCATCTGAAGACATGCCCCCCCCCCACCTTGCCGCAGTGATGCTCAGATGGATCCAGCCACCCAGAGGGGACAGTGACATGCCAGGCACCCGGGCCACGGCACACGTGAGAAGGAGCCAAGGCTGGGGTCCTGCTGTGCAGGGAAGGACAGCAGCATCGGGGCCTGGCACCCCTCGACGCCCACTAAGGGCAAGAGAAGCAGATGACCAGGGACCACTGCTGGCCCTGCTTTTCAGCGGTGTCTGGGATTTAAGCGCTGGCTCTGTTTCTGTGCCAGCTGGGAGCTGCCTGGGCTGAAGGTGGCATCTGGGGCCAGGCTTGCCCCACCGCTTTGCCCCCTGTGTGGTGCAGGGGCAGGCGAGGGTGCACGCGGCAGAGCGATGCCTGAAGGCACAGGCGATGCCGCAGCCTGAGGTGGGGAAGCTGGGCACAGCAGAGGCAGAGCGGGGGGCTCGGCACCCCAGGCTGTGTCACCTACAGCCTTTCCCCTCTCTGCTCAGGCTGTGAACCAGCTCTGTAGGAAAATCTCAGACCCCTCCACCCCTCCCCTGCTTTTTCCCAGCTCCCAAAGCAGCTGCAGCTCCAGCTGCTTCGCAAATCGCGGATGTGGGGCCCGAAAATCTGTGGCACGCTGCGACCGCGCTCGGTGGGTCGGGCGAGGGGAGCTGGGGGGGGCGAGGCAGCCGTGAGCCAAGGGGCTGGGGGCCACAGAGGGGGGGCGGGGG